TTAGTTTACTGCAGTTTAGTGTTATAAGCCAGAATTAGAAGATCTTACAAGTCTGTATCAACTTACCCAGCAAAGCTACCAGCAGGAGAATAACTATAATGTAGTTTGAATTTTTCTCCTTGTAAAAATACAGTAGCAGGCAGAACATGATGATCTCCACAAGCTGCAAAAGATAGAAATGAGAATATTAAAATGTGTGAGGTGTGTGGGGTTGGCAGTAAATAGGATTCTGAGCCAGTCAAACATCAGAATTACATAGTAGAGCAAATGAAAGGAAAATGAGGATCCCACACAATTCTAGATCAAATTTAGCATGATCTCAGCTTCTAATGAGGTGACATTGAATAGCTTCTCACAGAACAGGAAACATGGAACACTTTTGATGTTAGATTTGTGGTAAAGCAGGAGATCAAATAGTCCTGACTGAATATTCACATGACAGATCTCAGCCTACTTTCTGCAATGAGATTCTTTCAGTGAGCCCTGGAGCACACATCTTATTTAATGGCCAGACTTATCTCCATTAAGAAATAATACATTCCATAAGATTTCCAATGAGAGATTGATTGCTCAGTCTAGAAAGTCAGATGCAAGCTCAGCATTTAGACACCTCTGGAGCAGCTGCTCTCAGCTGCCACAGGCTGAAGCCGACAGCTCTAAGAGAGAGCAAGAGACTTGAAAACAGATAAAGATATTCAAGTCCTAACAGAGTAATTCAGAGCAAGAATGGGAGAGTTCCAAACCATGCATGCATGTGTCCACATGCAACATGAACCGACACCACGGAACACTGACACAGGTTCATTATCAAGCGCAAGGAATATTGGTAGTAACCACAGAGAAAAATAATGCTCAAAACCAAGCTCCCCATCAGGCATATAGCAGAAAACTGGCCCACTTTTTATGGGCCATCTTACCATATACAACAGAAATGGCCAGCTCACTAAATGCCTAGTGATATTTTCTCCTGTCATCTTCTCATGACTATTAGGTCCAAAAGTTATCAGCAGATAAGTTCCAACAATTGCCAAACCACAGCCTACAAAGGACAAAACATAGCGCCCTTTGGCGACCAAAGGACAAAAAAGAGAAAGAAAGAGAGGACAAAGTTAGTGGGTTAGTGTGGATGCATGGGAGTAATATCACACATGCACAGTGACTATTAATGCCATCATGCACATTCCTCTGGATGGTTCCAGGTATTTCTAAAATCTGACAGATTCAGAGGATTTCGCACAGATCAGGTGAATAACCCCAAGGAAACAAAAAAATCCCTTTTTAACAGTGGCTCAGATGAGGCAAATCTTCAAAGAGGTACTAGAGCTAAAGGAGATCTTGCCATCCCTCCAATTATGATTCCTGAAAGGCCATGCTGTGTGTTGAATGGCTTGTAAACAGGGAGGAAAAATGAAAAGGAACTGTGGAACTTACTCAAGAAATCCTTGGGCTTCCATTTCTCTTTAATAAATATAATTCCTATGATTGCACTTGCTATAAAACAGAGGAGAGGGAAACAGTGAGTTATGCATCAGTCCATAACTCATGCGTCACCAGTCTCACACTGAACGCACTCAGACTTGTATGGCTGTTGCCTCCTCCCCCCTTACCTATAACAGACACTGCACTGAGTGGCACAATCAGTGAAAGAGGAGCAAAGGCGTAAGAGGAAAACACTCCCAGTTCTCCCAGCACCAGCAGGAACAGTCCACACCACCACGTCTTGGTTTTGAAGTAGGCTCGGGGGTCTTTGGAACCTGCCAGCCGGATGTGGCTGTATTTCTAGAGGACAGAAGAAAGGCAGAGAGGCTTTGGTGCTCTTGATGCTTTTTAATGCAGGATGAGTATTTGCTTCATGATACTTACCTGGAGGTTGAGTGCAATACTGATGACAAGATGCCCAAAAATAGCCAGTAATGCACCAATCAGGTTCTCCTGTTAAAACACACAGATACTAAACTTAGCCAAGGAAGTTGGAGCTTTTTGCACACCTGCAAGAAAAGAAACTTTTAAAACAGTTCCTAGATCATCTGTCAATAAACTATCTATCTTTCTCCCTTCCTATGTGATCCAGGGCAATTCAGGTAAGTTCCCTGTGGCTGTGTTCCAAACCTGTGAAACACCCTGTCCTAGTGACAAGAGACAAGACACTCGCTACAAGAGATTTCAGTAGCATTCATGTATTTGCATTCTGTGCAGTTTCTCAGAGGGGAAGAAGATAAAGCTAAACACAGTGACCCATTCACTCATTATTCCCTTTGAAATAACTCTTTTCATGAGGATGACTGTTGCCCTGGAATTCAGCAGAGTATGGAGCAGGAACCTCTGCATTCTGCAGGTCACATTTTAAGAACTGTTCTGCTCTTCTCCACTTACAGCATCTGCTGGTTCAGGTAATTCAACCTATTTCATGAAGCCTCCCAATTACCACAGATTTTATGCTGGCTTTTATATGAACCACCTATTTCAAAGTAATAAGCAACTGGTAGCAGCTCCCAACCCCTCCTACATGAGCATTCCCAGCTCAGCAGTCATTCTCACGGTCTTAAGACAGAATTTGAAATAAAAAAAAAGATGTAAAGCAGGGTGAGTCACAAAGGAAATGTACATTAGGAGGGAACAGGAGAGCCTGAGGCTAAGCCAGGCCATTTAGCATTTATGTTCCTCCAACAACTGTCTAAATCTCATTAGATGTCATTAGAACTTTTCATTTCAGTGCTGGTCTCCAAGATACAGTCTAGTACTTTGATTGATTTGGGATAACTGAGCTCACATTCGTATTACTCCCTTAACAAATATACTACTCTCAATTTTCTCACACATAGTAAGAGAGGGACTTTAAGATTTTAAGTTCTTATCAGTGGAACAAAAATCTCTTTATCAGGGTGTATGAAAATAAGATTCATCCAAGCAGCTTGATTTAAAACCACCTGCGAGATCTTCCCACAACAGTAAAGCTGGCAGGAAAATGTCCCTGTGTGATCACAGGTGTAGCCAGAGCAGCTCAGCACAGTTCACTGGCTCAGCAACTGCCCTTTGGTTTAGAAGAGACAGTTTCTTTCTTTCTCTCACTGCTGTAATGCACTGGGGCCTCCAGGCATGGCTAAATAAAAACCCAGTGCACTTGCTGCAAACAAATAACCAAAACACAGGGACACTGTTGGTTACTTGGGGCCTTCTAGGGATAGACTAGGGGAGAAACCTGACCTTGTATGAAAAGGAGTCGGTGTGTGGCTGCACAGAAACTGCTGCTGTGGCCAATGGGAGTTGCTGAAGTTGTAGATTTGGACTGTTGCCTCCTTCCATTGTGACTGATTGGAGTGTTTACTTTTCAGCCTCCTGGATGCTGGAGCTTCTCTTTAAAGAAGAGAATTGGACCCTGCTGGAACCACTTTCTCTGTAACTTGGTACCACTTCTTCCCATCCATCTCGTTTTCTTAGACAAGCAACAATTAGGTGAGCCCCAGAAAATTCTGTATAGCTGTCTGGGCTACACCAAGATACAGTAGGCACTGTAGGCAGGAGTGTAGAGGAGCCAATATTGCCAGCCAGTCAGTGGGGCAGCAAGGTTATATTCCTCCGAGGTAACACTAATTAAAACCCAGAAACAAACAAACAAAGACAACAAAGAATTAAGTCAAATTAACTCAATGGTCCAAAATATGCATTAATTCCTACTGAAAGAAAGACTACAGAGAACTCCCTTCTTGCAGTCTCAAACACAAGAGCTCGCACACTGGCATAGCCCCAGGGGTGACATACTCAGCTGGCATTTAACATTCTGCCTTGCCATTTGGAAAGCTCTTATCGAAGTCTCCGAAGTCCTCCAAATGCTGCTTTTCATTTCTCTGCTCTCTGCTGTCTCTGTTGTTTGCTCAGGATGCAGCACTACATTAGTCACCCCATCCCCATGTGCTGGGGATGACAGTGCTGCTCTTCATGCTGAGGTCATTTCAGTGTAATCGCTGCGAGCACAGTTTGGAGGCTGAATTCCTCAGAGCCAGACTCATTACAGGTGTCTGGAAAGCATCACAAAGAGCAAGCCTGTCTGGTCCCTGCACGCTATGACAGCTCCTTCAGCAAAGACCTCAAGGAGCATCAGCACTGTCCCCCTTGTACCGTGAGGGATGCTGGTGTGTAGACACTGCAGGGGCACAATCCTCCCAGGTGGAACATCCTCCTCAGTCCAAAGACTACCTGAAAGGGCACAGGTGGAGCACCCCTTATGCTCAGGCGCTGGACAACTGGCCAGCGGTCAGGTAGCAGAACCCATGCCATGCTCAGGCTACAACCTGCAAGCTCTGGGGATGACTTTAGCTCATGGGTTGTCCCCGTGTGCCCAGCGTGAGGGACAGGGCTGGCGTGACAGCCCAGCACCACCAGGAACACCCCGAGTGAGGGACAAAGCCCCCATCACCTCACTGTTAGGGACCTGCCCGGGCAGGTGCGAGCCTGGCTGAGGGCGGGAGTTGCCCCTGGAGGCCCACCCCCGGGTCAGGCCTCTCTGCCCAGCCGCCACCCGCGGCCGGGCCCCAGCAGCCGCCTGTTTCCGCCCAGGACCCCCGGAGAGCCCGCAGCGCCGAGGGGACAGCGGCCACCTCCCCGGCCCCGCACTCACCTGCGCCCCCAGCCCCGCCGCTCTGCCCCCATGGCCCGGCCCTTCGGCACCCACCTCGGCTCCCGGCCCAGCGCCGCCGCAGCTTCCCGCCCGGCCCTTCCGATTCGCCGCCAGCCCTGTCACTCCATGGCCGGGCCGGGGCTGCCGGCGGTGATTGGCTGCTGGGTGGGGGCGTGCCTGGCCCAGCCTATGGGCTGAGTCCGCCTGCGGCTCTCGGCTCCGAGGGGGCGGGCGGGAAGTGCCGGGTTCCGCCACTCGGTTGGGGCGGGACGGGACGGGACGGTGCCGGCACCGACATAAACACAGACACAGTCCTGCTGCGCGACTCCGCCTCCCGGAGCCCCGGCCCAGAGGAGAGGAGCCGCAGCACCCCCGTCACCCCGCTCCACCCGCCGGTGTGCGGCGCCGGCCGCTGCCCGCCTCGGCGACGGTGGCGGCTCCGGTAGGCCCCACCCAGACTCCAGAGCCACCTTGAGACGCATGCGCTGCGCACTCCCAACCACGCGCACCACGGCTCTGAGAGTTCACCTGTGATTGGATGCCTGCCGGAGGGCTCAAAGTAACGGGGCCAGTGATTGGAGGAGAGCCGGGTCGGCCGTTGTCTCGGCAACCAGGTGCACGCGTTCCCTCAGCCGCCGGTACCGCCGAGGGCCGCAGGGAGCCGGCGGGCAGCGGGGTGCGGACGGGGGGCACCCCCGTGCCTCGCGTCCTGTCACCGAGCGGCTCCTCCCGCCCCTGTCCGCCGATCGCTCCTCAGCGCTTCAGCTGAGAGGGTGGCCCCGTGGAGCGAACGGATGAGGTGCCCGAGTCGGTAAACGGGGACAGCCCGCAGAAGCGATTTAACGGCACTGAGCGCCCCTTAAAGCCCCCTCACGAGCAGTGCTGCTGCACAGTGCTTGTATTCCCTCTGCTTCTTAAATAAAACCGAAGTTAAATGCAGAAGTGGCTGCTGTTTTCTTGGCTTGAACACTGCACTAACGTTAGATTTGCCTTTAACTTACATATGCCATTTAAACCGAAAGCTGGGGTTGTAGTTACATGTTTCCTCTATCTCCAGATTTTAGGTTTCAAGACGTCTTCCAGTCTTTATAAACACCACAGGAAAGTAATCCCAAACTGGGGGGGAACAAAAAGGATTTCACTCTCAAGCAAGGAGGTTTCAGTATAAACTCCTTCAGAATAAGTGAGTAACAAAACTGTTTGTAGTTTATGTCTTTGTTTTGGTTTTGGTTTCTTAGGTGTTTTTTTTTTTGGGTGTTTTTTGTTTTTTTGTTGTTGTTGTTGTTGTTGTTTTTGCAACAGGGTGAGAAATGTGCTAATGCAATAGTATTATTGCATTAAATCCTGAAATTACTCACATAATACCCTCACCTGAACCACCTCCTACCGTCTCCCACCCAGCTTTCACCCTAGTCCCATTTCCAGTGTTCTTGAGCTCTCCACGACACGCATACATGGTGCGTTTCTTCTGAAATTCAAGGAAACCGGAGAAGTTAACACTTGTGCAGTGAGAGCACAAGGTTCCTATTGCTTCCTATCTCCTGCTATCCCTCACCCTGATGTAGGAATGACACCGGTACATCTGGTATCTGGCCAGCAGAGGGAAGCAGAAAGACGTTTTAAACCCATCTCGTTCGCCCGGGTTTCTTTTCAAGTGCAGCCAAGCTCACAGGTGCCGAGGGCCTCCTGGGCTTTCTGGATCCAGCTTTCAAGCTGCCTCCTCTGCTGCTGGAAAGAGGATGCCCATGGCCCCTGCTGACAGTCTCCTGCTGTCTGGTGACGATGTGGTAACCCCAGAACTCTGAAAATTAAGTATATTATGGATTTCTGAAACTTTGTGTGCCGGGTATGTAAAGCAGGTGAATCAAGGAAGTATTTGGCCTCTTCCGTCTTTCTTCTTCTGCCTTTGGCATCTTCTTTTTCTTCTCCTTCCTTTGATCTCTTTCTCCTTGCTTGTCTTTCCCATCTCAGTGATATCAGGAGTGTATTATCTCAGATTGAATAATAGCAATCAAGGAGGCAAAGGACAAAAGATGAGGGGAAAATGATCAAGGTGGAGAAGTTGCTTAAATACCGTCTGTAGGCGCCATCAGTCTGTCTGGTCAGCTTCCAGGAGCTCCAGGTGACCTGATGCTAAGTTCTGACTAAAAGAGAAGAGGCAGAGTCTTAAGGGAGCTTCACAAAGCACTCCCTTCCCTTTGAGAATTTCCTGCTTGAAGGGCAGAGCAGGCAGGAAGCCAAACCACAAGCTACACAAGGGCTTGGCTGATTCTTTCTTAAGCTTTATCCCTAGAGAAAAGTTACTGCACTAGGCAGGGGAGGGGAAGCTTTAGATCCATTAAGACCAGCCTGTTTGGGGGCTGCTGACTGTTTTCTCCACCAAAAGCACTTGACTGTGTCCTCTTCAGCACAAGCCATTTTGGAGTACATTCCTTTAGCTGGGATAAATTGCCAGTACATGAAGTTTACCCACTTGTAATTTAGGCCACGTAAAGAGCTTATTTGCTTCGTACTACCTGACCTAGAACACCTCACAGGTGAGTTGACCCACTTCTATAACTGCCAGTTTCCCTATGTCCTCACACATCCCTACGTGTAGCAGCGGGCTGGAGTTTGCCAGGTTGTTCTGATGGACTCACCTTGCAGCACGGAGCCCCCTCACACTCCCACAATCCACAGGGCACAGAGGTGTGCGCTCACTGGAGCAGGAGGTTAATTTCCAAGGGTGTGTAGATGTCTAATCTCCAATTACTTTCAACAACACCGAGGTGATGATGGGCATGCCAAACCCAGAGCTGGATGCACTGGATGGGAGAAGGGCTCTGTAGCTGTTTCTTCCCTGACACGTGCTTATCCTGGAAGGCGCTAATCAGGAACGTGCTGCTGAAGTAGTAACTCCCCTGGATGGGGCAGGGCTGAGCATGGGACTCCATCCAAGCCGCAGCAGGCTGGTCAGCAGGAGCAGCCAAGCCCTGGCAACACCAGGGAATGCAGCTTGCAGATGCAGTTTTTTATCAGCTGCTTTGGAAAGCTGCTGCAATTTTAATAGCCAGTTCTAGCAAATTGGAGCAATCTTGCTTTCCTCAGCACAACCCTCTTGTCCATGGCGAGCAGGGTGGAGAACCTCAAGCACGTGGCAGGGCCTCCACATGGCAAGGCCATGTGGAGATGCAAGCCAAGGCAGTGCAGTGGCTGTTCTGTTTTGAGTTCTGGGGCTTGATAAAAACCACCTAGCTCAGGATCTCTGCCTGCTGCATGTGGACAAGCCGTCATATCCCATCTTGAGAAATCTCCTCCTCCAAGTTTGGCATCCTGGGAGTATCACACAGGGGCTCAAGTGAAACACAACGTAAGTCAGAGCAGCTCTGCTGATATTCCCAGAGTTGCATCACATACCTCAAATTTTGATTTATCCTGAAGCATTTTCCTACAAAGAAAAACATGTGGAAAAGATTATTTGTGACCATTCACTTTATAAGTCAGGTGGTATTCTTATGGCAAAGGCCAAACCTGCAAGTATTAAGTGTACAGATAACAAAAACTGAGGACCTGGGATCCGCTTCCCAGTTTTAATGGAAGTGGCACACATTGTGTTTTATTAGTTTTAGCACTGGAGTAGCACTATTACACTTGTCCATGCACGTAGCAAGAAACAGCTCAGCAGCAGTAGAAAACCAGACTGGTGGAGTGATTTGCCCATGATCTCACTGTAAATCAACAGCAAATTCTCCAGCAGGCAGCACTGTCTGCCCATCCCATCCAGTCTTCTCCTTAGTCTGCTCTTTTGCAAGACCAAGCAGAGCAAGAGCCCCCATTCGTCTCCCAGCCATTTCTGGTCCTTTCTTAAGGTGCAGCAGGTCACTTGTATTGCTGCTGCTGTCCACCAGCAGCGCAGGTCCTGCTGCATGGTGGTTTTTAATCAACTCGGCCTACACAGGCTTCCATTTCCCCACTTTTAACCTCGCATCTTCCCTGCTCCTTGATCCTGCAGAAACTTCTACAAATCCATTCATCCTTGTGCTTTGCATGAGTGGTTTAATGCCCAAACTACTTTCTTTTCTCCTCTTGACTGTGCATTGCCTTGTTCAATCCCATCTATCCTGTTCTCTTTCCCTCACTATTATGCACATGCTGTTTCTGGGGGGACATCTGATCACTCTCAGAACCCGACTCTGAAGTCATCAGGATACAAACTAAAAGTTGCTTCCAGGCACTTCCAGAGTACTTTCCATTGGTAACTGGCAGACAAGACAATTAACAAAGTACACATAATGATAGAATGCTCTTAAAGATCAGGAACTTCAGCTCTTTCCATCCTACATACTGGAATAATTTCCCATTTGTGTTAGTACAAAGCTATTTCTTTTATCTTGTATGGTGTCCCAGACCTTCCAAGTCCCACTGTTTTTTCTTTCCTGGGATTGGCAGAAGTAGGGCATGCTACCGAGGGCACTCAGCACTTCATGGGACCACATCTGAGAAGCTGGAGGTATCATGCACGACACAGGCAGGGTTTGATTTCTTTGGCTCTATAAATAGAACCCTGCCTAGGCCTCTCTTTTGAAAAGCTCATTTCTAGGAGCTCAGCTGGGGAAGGTGTGGTGACTGCAGAGCTGCATTCTGCCCACAGGCTGAATTAACTGGGTCCAACTCAGATGTTAAGGGTGAGATTTTGGATTTGCTGTGGCTCCCAGTATATAAAAATTGCTGAGAAGACAGCAGAGAAATTTTATCTTCCTCATACTCAGCAATATTCAGTTTTCCATGATTTTTCATGCAGTTTTCCATGCATCAGGAGACCTGCACGAAAAGATTAGAATTTGGAACAATGAAGGCATCTACTTCAATGCACAATCACAATCAAAGCATAAAATCTGGAGCGCAAACAATGACTTAGAAAATGATACAGGAAATACAAAAATCCCATCATTTCTGCTGCTGGTGCCTCTTCAGCTGGAATGTCACCTTTAGTCCTGGCCACCCTCATTCTAGTGAAGAACTACAGCACAGATCATTTAGAAATAAGAGATGACCGTTAGAGTCCCAGTAAAGACTGAAAACACTAAAGATGTTTAATTTAGAGGGAAGAAAAATTAGATGGCTTGAAATGCATGTGAGATAACTAAGAAAAATGAAATAGTCAGCTTTTTCTATATCCCATAGAACAGGAGGATATCGGCAAAACCTTAAAACCCAATAAATTTCAACTTGAAAGAAGGAAGGAATGGTACAAACTACAAATAATGTTCATGCCCATCTGTAACCTGGGGTGGTAGTTTACCATGAAAGCTGTTTGGAGCAACAGGTACACAGCTCAAACACAATGAGTTACCGCAGCGAGAGGTCACCAGTGCAGCTCGGGCAGCAAAGTGGGGTAGTTCTCTTGCTAGAATGAAACCCCATGTCCAGGATTCAGTGGTGTCACTCATCCATCTGCAGAGATCAACAGCACCTCATTGTCCAGGGAAGGAACCGGATACTTCCCTTCGCTGGTAAGAGGAAGCATTTTATTTCACACTGAGTTCCAAAGCTGCTAAACTCACCTTGTGCCTTTGTGTTGACTTCAGTGGACCTGGTCTTTAACTGATGCTTGACTGTGTGTGCAATGCGTGTTTAGTGTTGTACTGTTCCTAAAATCCAGCCAGGAAGGAACACAATTCCTCATTGTCCATTACAGGTAAGGTGGAAGTCCAGCAGCTGTTCTAAGCTGCTTTCTCATGTCCTTTATCTTTTACGTTTCTACTGGGGCTGAAATTCCCTTTGCTCATACCCAGAGGTGCCCCTTTTTAATTCTGCATTAACCTTTTCAAGCAAATCTTGAGCACACACCAGGCAGGAACTCCTCAATACCAAGGGAGGAAGAACAGATCCCTGACCCTGGGACAGCAGCAAACCTTGTCCCTACCACATCACTGGCTTTGATACTGGAAGACCCCAGAGCACCCCAGGAGTTTTCATCCCAGAATCCCAGGCTGTGTTGGTTGGTTACAGGAAACTTCTGCCAAGAAGCTCAAGGCAGGTGAACATTACATCTTGAAGAGGTACTGGCTTTTGAGGTTCAACCTCAGAGCTGGGAATCAGGTCTGGGTATGTACAAGTGATGTAATGGACTGTGCCCTTCCACTCACCGTGGAGCCCTGCCAGTTTGTATCAGCTGAGGCCCTCACCTTCCGCTTCAGTTCCTGAACCAACTGCTGATTCACCCTTGTGTAAGTCACTTAACTGTTCTGCGCCTGCTGCTCCCCACCCATGCCACCATGACCAAGCTTCTCTGGGTGTTGTAAGCTTTAGTCCACAGGAATTCACAATGTTTTGAGATACGGAAGATGTTAAACCCCAAAGTGTTAGTAACAATTATCAGATAGTTTATAATAATATATGCACTGCTAATGGACTTCTCTGCCTCTTCAATGGTGTCTTGGTGTAGCTGTGATTACCTTTGGATTGGTTTGTTCTTCTTTAGAGAGAGCATTTGTCTTTTCCTGCACAGCACATCTGCATTGCAGCCATCTCCTAGTGAGCTGTCCCCTTCTAAACTGCCTTGAGTGCAGGATGGACACATCCACCTTGTGGTGAGGCACAGCACGTTGACTCTTTAGAGTATTTGATGACTTTGCAGCACTGTTTAAGGCACAATGAAGACAACACAATTTAATAAACCTAATAAGCTGCCACTCATCAGCTGAGACATCTTAACTGGCTGCATGCATGTTCTTGAAGCAGTTCAAGCTTTTATAGTAATTTGATCTAGTTTAAACATCAGCAAAGGTGTTTTAAGCAAACATGTCTTACCTCACAAGCTGGGTGTGCAAAGAGCACACGGACAGAGTTACCAGCCTCAGCTGACATGGGGTAATGCTGTTCACTCACACAAGCCATATGCTAAGGCTGAACTTTCTGAGGCTGACTCACCCTGACCGAGTACCTGCGCCAGCACGTTCCCAGTTGATTAAACTGGTTTGCAGGCCATAATTATTTTCTATATCATATTATAATGGCTTCGCATCTTATTAATTTTAACATTGTAAGAATTTGCTTCTGGGAACGGCCTTCTTGAATTAATCACTGACTCATGATTTACTGTAGGAGATAATATCTAACCTACAAGAAGCAGAACAGGAAACTATCTATTTGAAAGATGTCAGTGTCTGATAATTTATAACTATAGACAAAGAGACATCTGAGAAGGAAAAGGTGGACAGATCCTGCAGTCTTCACATGGTCACTGCTCTCAGGCAAAAAGGAACTTTTGTCCAGTAACTAGAGGACCTGCTTTTGAGGCAGTGACAGCTGAAAATGGACAAATAGTGGAGGAAAAAACGAGTGAAACCCAGGAAGAGAGTTCCCCGAGCTGTCAAAGCCATCTTCAGCCCTGGGACCAAACCTTATATTAAAATAAAGCTGGTTAAATATCATGACTTCTGTAGGTGCTACACCTGCTTATGTAGGAAACATAAGAAAGAAATAGGAAAAGATCAGTCTCTTTTGTGTTGAATCTTTTGTGCTGGTGTCTTCTTGCTGCCTTCCCACTCTTGTGCTTGAACTGGACTCCTCCACTTACATCACTGAATTAGCCTTGACCAGTAGAGGTTTTCTCTCGCTACAGCTTGATTAGAAAAAGTCCTTTTCAGCCAGCAATAAAAAGTTTTACACCTCAGAGCACATTCTGGGAGGTAAGGCTTCATCCTGGGAATCTGACAAGCCTTTCCCTGTGTCCCGTGACCCATGCTGTGATTTTGGGTAGCTCATATAACCTTTGGCACCAGAGATTTTTGCCTCTAAGGACAGCAGTTCTCTGAGCAGCGAGATGCTCCTCAGGAGCTGTGGATGAAGCGTGTTCCTGTGCATAGATTGTAGACGAGCTGCAGCCAACACCAGGACTGAGAGTGCAGGAGGCAGCTCCAGGAGAGTGTGATCTGCCCCCCCAGGGACCTCTGGCATCTCTGTGTGGGTTATAAGGAGCTTGGGGACTGCGAGCAGCGTAAGGACAGAGCTGAACCCTGAGCTTGCTGTGAGCTGCAGGAGGGCACAGAGCCTCCAGCAGTTGCCTGCAGGCTCAAACAACCCCAAATACAGATTCCTCAAGTCATCCTTAGCTCAAAGCCCACCCTGCAGCCACACACACATCCCTGCCTCTGTAGCGCTTTCACAGCTGCCCCCCTGGTGTCTTGGCAGCACCACCTCGACTTCGGTGCTCAGTTGGTGTCTTGAGCAAAAACAGGTCACTTACAGCTGACATCAGAGGAGCCTGAGACAGCAGCTGAACACCCAAAGCCACATTCTCTGCAAGAATTCAAGTCCTCAGCGTCTGTGTAAATGCAGCCTCTGCATGCTGGGCAGTCACAAAGAGACCTGCACTTGGGAAGCACTCCCAGGAGTTTGGCCCTACTACTGCCTCCAGCTGTATCATTGCAATTACTCACGATGGAGACAACTGGATTTTAAATGTGGGTTTTGCTTTGTTGGTAATTACCCACAGGTAAAGTCCATTCAAAGGCATTCACAAGCTCTTTTTCTTTTCCTGAAACAGACCTCTGGATTTCTGCGAGCAAAGCAACACCATTTCTGGCCAGACAGTGCTTGTGTCCAAACCCACAGGAGGATTAAATGGGGAAAAATTGGAAAACGGCCTTCTCTGTTGAGCCCTGAGCTGGGAAGAAAGATGCTGCTGGTGATTTTGGTTCTGATACTGTGGGGTGCAGAGCACCATCTCACACAAGTTCAGGTCACCCAGAGCTTCTTAAGGCACATCTGATTTAAGCTAGTGTCAGGACACTGCTGAGTCCCCCTTCCAAGAGCTCTGGGTAGGTCCCTTTGAACCTCTGCTGAGAAACCATCCAGAAACAGTCCCGACAGTTTCGGGTAGCCATAAGGAATCACTACAACACCCCACAATAAACTGCAGATGCCAGAGGCTTCAGGAGAAGCTGCATTAGTGCATAATGTACCAAGATCCACAGTCCTGTAGCTGCAGTAGTGTGCTCCTGGCCCATTGCCTGGCGAGGTTTCAGACCTGGAGTGGGAGGGCACGTAGCCATGTAGTTATCTTACATGTTAGACCATGTGTGAGTTCTCCCCCTGTATGTGCTTTAAAATGGCCAATATCTCCCTACATTCCTATGATCAGGACTAAGTTTAGTGTCACCTTATCAGTGTCCCTCGAAATAAGCTCTGCCCAGGACAGCACTTTTTAAATCCAGAAGTGATTTCCCCACACAGTCCTGTTGTACCGGTTCTTTTTCCTTCTGTTACATTCACTGACTGATGCACTCTCCTTCCTCAGTGCCACTGTTGCAGCCCTGTTTGTTATTTACATCCTTTCCTTGTTTGTCTTGTAGGTCACTACAGCCATGCCCTCATCCAGGTGTCTCCCAAAGGTGTAACATCTTGCTTCAAGCCAAAGACCTCCCGCCTGACAAAGATGTATGGATTTACTGCGGAGCCTGCAGCCCGTCAGCCACATAAACCTACCAAGGGAGCAAAGAAAACTCCTTCCAGGTCAGTCCAGCCTGGACAAGATGCCGCTTTCACGGGGCGTGGGGCAATGTGTCAGAGACCAGAGTGCTCCCGCAGTGTCCCACTGCATCCCCTGGCCCAATGGGGCCGGTTATTGCCAGGGACAGGCTCAGAGGTGGAAGCGTTACAGTGCACTGCCTCGGAGGGGAGTGTGGGTTGATAACACCCTGGAGCACTGTATCAGAGGTACCTTTATCAGACCATCTCTCAGACATTTACAAACAGTAATTAAACACTGCACCACCCTTATGATGTAGGGGCAATTTCTTATCCCCACTACGCAGATCAAGAAGCCAAAGCACACATGACCTGGAAAAAGATAGATCACATCCCAGGCAGGAGCTTTAAGCATTTGGCCATGTTTCTTTCTCATTGCCAGTGCCTAAGCTCACCCGCAGGAACACATTGGGCATAAAGAGTCCAACCTGGGAATCACTGGGCAGGAACGGTGAGGGCAGCTTGTGGCTGCACAGCATCTCAAGGAACCTGATGGGTAAAGCACAGGCACTGCCTCAGCCCCTGCTAAGGCTGGGAATTAGAGCTGGAAAGAGGCTTGTAAAAGGCTCAAGTACTTCCTTCAAGCCAGAACTGCCATTCCCCCATCTTCCATCCTCCTGCTTGTTTCAAAGAGATTAAAAGGCATGAAAGGAAACTCCCTTCTGCCAAGCCCTCCCCCCTCAGCATCCTCATGAGAAGACAAACAAATCTGCCTATCAGCAAATTGTGCAAGTAAATTTACTGTCACCGTGCAGTGACGTTGCCTGGCCCGAGATTAAGATCAACAATAAATTCCTGACCATGGAAAAGAATGAGAACATGAGAAAGCCCACGGCTCTCCTTACCCAAGAGCTGTATCTTTACTACATCTCTCAGCAGCTGTATCTTATAACAGGGTTTTGTGAAAACAGCGGGAAGCTGTAGGCTGGGAGGGAGGTGATGCCAAGTGGCATTGGGTAAGGACAGAGGGCTAGAGGAAAGGGCAAATTAAATGTGAGGAGAGAAGATCACCAGTCTGTGTTATCAGAGAACACAAACACGCTCCACACCCAGCTGCTGGGGTTGGAGCCTGCCCCTCTCCTGCTCCACTCAGTGGGATAGAATGGGAGGAACTGGAGTCACTTGGCATCGCTGTCGGGGGTTCAGCGCTACCTTGCTCTGGAGCAGCAGAGCGGCCGGGTCTCTGCAGAGGCTGGGCCACGGCAAGCCTTTATTTGGCAATAAACAAGCGGGGTGTCTGTGGCATCGCAACTGGACCCTTTTTCCCCAGATCATTTCCCAAAGATTCTGGTTCAGGATTGAGCTTCCACCTCCCCAGGGACTTAACGGAAGCCACAGCTTTGATTTCCAGACATAAAACCCCATCAGTGTGGGACAAGTTCCTCAAATCGATTCTTCTCCTGACAGGCAGAAGCTCTGCCTGAGTCCCTCTGCTGCAGCCACCCCACCTTGTAAAGATCCTCCTCCTGGGCAGGACAACCTTGGGACTTACAACGGGTCTCCCAAGCAGGACTCGGGTGTTTGTCTGAAACAAGGGTGGTGGACAGATAAAGACAAGAACTGCTCTGAAGTGCTTGTCCTCACTAGAGATGGCAAAACCCAGATGTGACTGAAGAGCCCGGCTGCCTCCTCAACAGGAAAAACTGAAGCACAGAAATTATCAGAGCAGCCCTGCCAGGGCATGGGGACACCTGACCACACACACCACGTGTAACTCAGACACACAGCACACAGGACCCGCTGTGGATGGAGGACACAGGTTTATGAGCACCAGGTGTCTAGATCCATACAAGATCAGAGCATAGCATCTCCCGACACCTTTAGATGCTTTAGTAGCATCCAAAGGGCCACCCAGCAGCGAGGTGGCCAGAGCAGCGCTGGAGTCCTGGCTGCCAGCTCTTTGTCCAACTTGCTGGTCCCTATTTTACAATATTACTCTTAAAGGCAAGATTGAAAGACTCATGTTTGCAATGTAAAGTCCATTAAAGCATCCCTGACTGTCAGTGCCTTTGCCAAACAGGTTCTGTGAGTTGTGGTGCATGTGTAAAACTGTCACAAACCCTGGCTGTTGGTACAACAGACATTTCACCTGCAATGGTTTTCTGTTTGATTGGAAGAGGAGCCCTTGCAGGGAGGGGGCCGGGGCAAGGCATTCATTGCCTTCCTCCAGCACAGCAGCGTTACAGAGCACCTCGGTGTGGTGCCCTTGGGTTTATACCCCTCTGGCTGGCCTTTGACATCAAGCTCAGTAAACCCTGGTGCTGAGCCCTCACTCTGACACCAGCGGGGCTGGGAGGTGGCCACAGGGTCAGGCCCTGCTGCACGCTCCTTGTGTTCAGCTGCTCCTGCCTGGGCATGGGCTGAGGCAGAGCTGGGCATGGCCGTGGTGGATCCTGTCCCTCGGTGCCCATTTGCTGCCAGGCACAAGTAACATCAGTTACTCAGTTACTCAGACTTGCACTTCTTGCCCCATTTCTTGTCTGAGCTTCTCCATCCTCACGGGAGGGCACTGGAGGGCTGCAGAGCAGGCAGCAGCCATCTCTTGTAGAGCCTGAACTCGCCCAGCTGCAGATTTTGTACCAGCCCCAGACAGCGGGAGCACACGCTGGTGCCATCAGTCTCTCCAGGGCCCTTGCAGCAGCACGAGTGGGGTAATGGGCTCTTCTGGAGCCACATCCAGACCATATCCCAGACTTGCAACACAGGGCATGAGCAGCCAGCTCCCCAGAGCTGTTGTGCTGACGAAGCAAGGACAAGATCCTCAGCCATCATTTTGGTTAAAGGAACAGAGTGAGGGCAGTTCATTTGGGCTGAAGACCTGGCCCATGGTTGTTAAGGGTGGTAAAGAGGAAGGAGAAGGGGTAGAAATACCTCCTGCAGGTGCTGGGAAATGCCCTCTTTCCTTCCAGCAGTCTTTTATGCCAATTTGATTAGCAGCCCATGCAGTACCCTGTCAGTGCATGAAAAGGGGGCACCATGAGTACAGACACAGACACAGCCATGCAGAGCCTTCCTCTGTTGCTAAAACCACCCCACAGCTCCTTTCCACTCCAGCCTGAACAGAAGGAGGAAAACTCCATTGGATCAAGCCCCCAGTGGTGAGGTTAGAGGAGACTGGAGGCCTCTGCCCCCAGGAAAGCACAATATGAACAGAACTACTCTGTACAATACCACAAGGAGCAGAGCTGGAGGCAGGGAAGCTACTACCCAGTTAAATCCGTGGCTGATACAAAGCAGCAGCTTGATTGTTTTATCTCTGGTTTATTGAGCAGTTGGTGGAGCCTGTGCTGCTTCAGAGCCAGAGCCTCGGGAGTCCCAGTGGAACCTTCCAGCAAGGCAACCCACGTGGAAGCAAAACCGAAGTCTGCACATGCCAAGTGTCAGCACCAAATCCCAGTTCTGTGGCCAGGGACTCTTCCCAGCTGAAGGCACCAGGACATTCACACACCTGAAGGCTTAGTCCTCATCACACCACCCAGGTGAGGAGCAGCACAGGGGGACCTGCACTGAGGCACCCTCCCTGTGAAACAGATGCAGACAGAGGTTCATTTTCCTCTGTCTTTATCCCTTCCAATACCAATCAGCACCAGGGCATCTCCCAAAACAACGTGTGGGTGTCCTAACAAAACACAGGATGCTGTTTTTCCCTTTATAGTGATGGAGAACCACACCACACACCGAGATCCTCAGCTGCTTGCTTGATGATGCAAGGAATGAATAAGCATGAATAAAGACACAGAAACTGGGTGTTGTTTGCAGAAGTGCAGAGCAGATCCCTCCACCCAGCACTGGGGAGAGCAGGGCTCTTGCACAACAGCTCACAAGCTGTTTCTCTTCTTTATGCACCTCTGTCATTGCAGGTGCTGCTTTATTCACCCCTGGGAAGTGTTCCTGCCCTACAGCCACGTGGGAAGCAGCGCCCAGCATGGAGCAGCAGAACCTGGACCCCAGAGCAAGGTTCCTCAGAGGGCTCTGCACAGCACACATAACTCACGGTGAGCAGCCCTGTTCTCATTCACTGAGCCCAGCAGCTCATCAGTGGTGCTTGGTGCTGTACATTGGAACACACTCACTAGCTAAAGGGGGCTTGAAATGTGGATCTGTAGGTGTTGAATACTTCATACAACCATTGGGCACTGCAAGAAACTCCTCTTGGTGTTTCCACCGGATAAAGCAAAGAGGTGCTGGGGACTGGCTGTGCCCACTGGAGCTGTCACCCCAGGGGGAGTCCCCTCTTACCAGGGTAGGGACAGGGGGCACGGGCAGCGTGGGCACATGGTTCCCCCTCCTGCATCAGGCCTGCGCCAACGCGGGCGCAGCCTCCACAACGCACGAGCCCACGGGCACCACCGCACAGAGCAGTCACCGGGAGCATCTCTGGCTCGAGTCAGCACAAACCAGCTGCTGACTTGTCCAGAGCAGCCCCGGCCCCGGAGGAAGCTGCTCCCGTTTGCAGTGCGAGCCCTCTGCAGAGCACAGGCAGGTTCATACTTTCACACGACCTTTGCTCGCTCGGAGCTGAATCACCTCCATCGCTCCTATCTTCAAAAGGAGCTGGTGGGCTCCGGGCAAGGACTCAAGAATGCTGTCACATAGCTGCAGCTCTGCCTTACGCAACCGCCTTTGCTGGAAGGGATGAGCGATACTGAGCCCGTCAGCAGAGCCCCCACCCTCGGCGGGGCTGGAGGGGGCGTTTCCCTGCGCCCAGCATGACCCTGCTTTAAACTGACACCGTTGGATTACCCAGAACCTGCCCAGGAGCAGCGCCGGTTCCCTGCCGCCGTCCCATGGGCAGGGGGAAGCGGTGCAGACACAGCTCCAGCCAGGGCACACAGCGTGAAACAGACCCCGCACACCCAGCAAAATCCATCCTTGTTCTGCTGGGAACCTTAAGTCACAACAGGTTTTTGCTGTGTAAATTAGGAGTAATGCTACTAAGAGCAGTGTAAGTGGGAAGAGAATCAGCGCTGCGTTCACACGGGGAGGAAATTGGCCCCAAGACCAGACTTTCAGAGCAACTAATCACAGGTCAAGGGCTCACCAGGAGCCCACAGCATTGCACACACAGCACACGCAGCACAGCCTCACTGCCAGGGCCTCCCCGGGAGCAGCTCTCCAGGGAGGGCACCACCACTGCACAGGAACCCGGAGCGAGCCATGGGGGCACTCGCACTCTGTTTGTGCTGGTTCCTCGTGTTCCAGCCTCTCCAGTGGTGCGGAGGACTCGGTGCTGCCCCTGAGCCCCCAGCCCCGTG